AAGGATCGGCCAACTATATCCGATTTTTGCGATGTATATCCGGTTGTAACTGCAAGGGTATATCAACTGCGGCTCCACCCGAAGTTAGCTAGCTTTCCTTTCTTGATTAACTTAAAGTAAGATTGTAAAATGTATTGAAGAAAAACAAACTGCACTTTCAGACAATATGTATTTGAAAAAGATTTGCTTTCACTACAAAATAAGCTCAACCTTATACTATGTTAAGTTACCGAGCGGTTTCTGTCACTGAAAAATAATGTTCCAAATCTCCATTCCAATAAAAGCTCGATATTTTAGTTATTTATGTTTATTTAATATCTAATGTAAAGAATCAGCCGCAAACTATGCAGAATCAGAGGGGTCGGTGATAATAAAAATGCGAACGAAATGAGAGAGCGCGAACGAGAGAGTCGGTCCCAAAAAAGATGACACGTGCAGGTGGATGATCGATTGAAGGAGAAAGTGAGGGTGTGTGTCGAAAGTGAAGCAATGCAATGTGACGTTATAAATTCTTCTTCGGTTAAGAATTTACAGAAACAATGTTGGACCTTGGACATTGTTTTCGATTCCAATAAAAACAACAGTTGCGATGAAATGCGATATTTAATCAATTTAAAATCTGATTAACTAACAGTAAGTTAATATGACTTACTCGGTTGTACCTCATCAGTGGCTTCATCTATAAAAACTTCTGTGCCATAAAACTATAGCTTGAAAATTTCTTAAGGGGTTATATACAGTTGTGATAGATGAAAAAATCGATTTTTTTTTTATTGCATATTCTTTAAGTATATAATGTTGAGAATACTCTCATAACGATCACTCTCATAATTCATAACGATCAGAGCAGTAGAACCGAAGTTGTAGCTATTTATAGCGCACTACCTCACATCAAACTTGAACAAACTGGAACCTTTAAGGGGTTATATACAGTTGTACCGCGCAAAAATATGGATTTTTATCGATTTTTTTTTGACACCATAGAAAATTTTATGAAAAATGTTTTACCGTGGTCAAAATTTTGTGTTGATCGGATTAGTAGTTTTTAGTACTCGTGCCCACCGCAAAGGTAATTTCCCAAAAAAAAATTTTCGAAATTACCTTTGCGGTGGTAATTTCCCAAAAAAAAGAATTTTCGAAATTACCTTTGCGGTGGACACGATTACTAAAAACTACTAATCCGATCAACACCAAATTTTGACCACTTATTTATTATGATATTAGCCAGTCCGTGATTGAGGGATTTTAAATTTTTTTGAATTTCCTTTTTTAAAGCATAAAAATCGAAAATCTTATACCCTGAAAAAATAAATTTTTGTTAAAACCGCCGCCATTTTTTTTATCAACATTTTTTAAAATCCCTTGTTCACGGACTAGACAATACAATAAAGATGACTAGATGATAATAATAAAATTTTTTTGAATTTTTGATTTTGGGTGAACCGTTTTTGGGATATCATGTCCACCGCAAGACACCATCGAAAAAAGGCGATCCGGGAATTCGGCTATAACATTTTTATTATGTAGTATTTTTTATGAAAAAATTTAATTTGGTACCCAGAAACATGTACTAAACAACGTCGGTAAAACATTTTTCATAAATATTTTCTATGGTGTCAAAAAAATCGATAAAATTCCATTTTTTTGCGCGGTACAACTGTATATAACCTCTTAATCTATAGCCATACAATTTGTTTCGAAATTCAAAGTTTAAAAAATGCTTCTTTGCAAATCATAGTTATCTGACCCATAGGGCATAATACCAGTGACTTAGGCTTGGAAAACACTAGTGATCTGAGAGTCTGATGAAAAATTACTGGTGACGCTAAAGGTGGCAAGACTTCTCTTTGCCTTAGTCTTGCTTGATAACATCCAGGTTATTACGAAGTTTGGTTTGTCGTGTGAAAGCGAATCTCTGAAACGTTATAATTAAAATATTAATTAAATTTAAAAATGTCGATAATAAACATTTTTTTTAAACTATTTTTAGGTTGGAATTACACTCTGAAAGCGGAAATAATAAACCAGAGTTAATATTTATGGACCAAATAGAAGATATTTCATCAGATTATATTCTTCATAAAAATGAAAATTGCATACAAATTCGCATTAACGACGGCGGTCGAGACGGTCGTATCATTTTAACTAATTCGGTAAAAATTCCTTAATTTTAAATGATAGTTCTTGAATAATAGATATTTTTATTTAGGATGAAATAGGTTTAAAGGAGTGGGCCTTTTCCCTCAGGTCTGCACATAAGATGTCTCAAGATCTATTAGGATCCATGGCTAAAAAGGCTGGAAAAATTTATGGAAGTGAACGAGATGCCAACAAATCTATGCTTATACTTGGAGGAAATTGTTCAACCAAAACTTCTAATGGCCCCAACTAAATATTCATATTAAATCAAAATTTAATTTCAAATATCCATTGTAAAAGTTAAAAAAAAAATAAAATACATGTAAAGAAATTCGTATATTTATTTATTTTATTTCACTAACAAATGGAGGAGCTACTGAGGTTTCCACTAGTGTTTTAATTATTTGGTTATTTTAGTGATTAGCTTGGTGTTTGGTTTTGTGTGACTTATGAGTTCAAAAACATTGAACCACAAAAAAGCCTTTGTGGGGAGTGGGAAAAGGACACATATGTATACCATTTTTTAACGGTGAATCCAGAAAGACAATAAACTTTTATTTCGATTTATATTGTTAAAATTTAAATATAACTCGTATTTCCAATTTTTAATAATAAAAATTAAGAATAGGAATTATTTTTCATTTTTACAATAAAATTTAAAAATAAAAATGATGGTTCCATTTTTATACCCTTGCAGAGGGTATTATAATTTTGGTCAAAAGTGTGCAACGCAGTGAAGGAGACATCTCCGACCCCATAAAGTATATATATTATTGATCAGGATCACCTCCTGAGTTGATATGAGCATGTCCGTCTGTTCATGACGAAACTTAAGGGGACAAAATATTACCTAATATAAAAAACGCATATCCCCATTTGGAGCTGGATGAGGGTAGTCATGAGTTCACCACATTTTTTACGCACCGTGGCCTGTTCCGCTACAAGCGTTTAATATTTGGGGTAGACTCAGCTCCAGAGATTTTTCAAAGGTTAACGCAAGAATTGTTGACCGTGGCCTGTTCCGCTACAAGCGTTTAATATTTGGGCTAAACTCAGCTCCAGAGATTTTTCATAGGTTAATGCAAGAATTGTGTCGCCCTGCCCAAACGCATTTAATTACATCGACGATGTCATCGTATTTGGGAATAACCCTGAAGAATATGAAAAATTGCTGGAGACTCATTGTCGAGACTGTGCCAAAACACGGATACCAAACTTTTGACTGAGCTGGGGAGGAGCATATATTTCGCTTGGTATCGTCCTTCATACCTAAGTCGTTTACCATATCACAAGTCACTGAAACGAGTACTAAAGACAAGGAAATACTCGACGCGATGACGTGCCTTGATAGAAATTCGTGGAGCCTGAACGTGTCAAGTCCGTACTATCCTCTTCGATTGGAGCTTTCAATTGTGCTACAATCGAAAATCGACCTTTCAAATATCCCATTACGGGGCACTAATTGGTAATACCACAAAAGCTTTGAGAGACCTTGAACTCGCACACGAAGGACACCCAGGAATAAGTGCGATGAAACGAAGACTTCGTTCAAAAGTCTGGTGGCCCAAGGAAATGTTTTGCGACAGACCTTTTGGGTCCCTTACCAAATGGCGATAATATACTGGTTTTGATTTGATCACTTCCAAAACTATTATCGAACAACAGGAAGAGATTTTTGCAAGACTTGGTGTGCCGGAAACGTTAACGGCTGATAATGTAAGACAGTTCATATGCGCCTAGTTTAAAGATTTTTGCGAAAACAATGGTGTTCAAGTTCTGTCAACAACCCCATACTGGCCCCAGGCTAATGGAGAAGTCGGAAACATAAACAAAGCTTTGGTAAAACGTTTAAAAATAGCCCACGCTACCAACATAAACTACAAAAAAGAGATTCAAAGATTCGTACTAATGTACAACGTCAAATACCCACCGACTCCGACCATGTATGAACGTCTACCTTTCCCAACTATTTCTTTACAGCCAACCCAGGAGACACAAAATCCACAGGAACTTCCAGCAGCTCGGGAGACACAAGGCAAAGACAAGATCCTTAAGCTTTGTCTAAAAAGAAAAGATGAGGGATGTGGAGCCCTCCACCAGCATCAGAGACCGGAGAGGAGATGGAGAGCGAGGCTCTCTCCCAACGAGTAGGCTCGTATGCGGGGGAGAGAAGGGAATTAATATTTTCATAGACGCCGATGGAGTCGGACAAATAAAAGTGGTACACTTTGTGCCAAAGTATATAAACATATATTATATATAAATATAATATAATATATAAACATATTTGTTGTGATTATATTGCGGGCTAATAGCGCTGTTACATAACTGAACGTTTGGAAATGGTATTTGGTAAAAATAACAACTTTGGTATTCTTAAAGATAGAAGTTTGGGACTTTTTGTATAAAATGCTAAATATTATAATATTCTTATAAGGATCGGCCAACTATATCCGATTTTTGCGATGTATATCCGGTTGTAACTGCAAGGGTATATCAACTGCGGCTCCACCCGAAGTTAGCTAGCTTTCCTTTCTTGATTAACTTAAAGTAAGATTGTAAAATGTATTGAAGAAAAACAAACTGCACTTTCAGACAATATGTATTTGAAAAAGATTTGCTTTCACTACAAAATAAGCTCAACCTTATACTATGTTAAGTTACCGAGCGGTTTCTGTCACTGAAAAATAATGTTCCAAATCTCCATTCCAATAAAAGCTCGATATTTTAGTTATTTATGTTTATTTAATATCTAATGTAAAGAATCAGCCGCAAACTATGCAGAATCAGAGGGGTCGGTGATAATAAAAATGCGAACGAAATGAGAGAGCGCGAACGAGAGAGTCGGTCCCAAAAAGATGACACGTGCAGGTGGATGATCGATTGAAGGAGAAAGTGAGGGTGTGTGTCGAAAGTGAAGCAATGCAATGTGACGTTATAAATTCTTCTTCGGTTATATTAGCTAAGCTTGATATAGGTTGGCGAAATTATAGACTACGGCAATCCCGACATTGTTGGACCTTGGACATTGTTTTCGATTCCAATAAAAACAACAGTTGCGATGAAATGCGATATTTAATCAATTTAAAATCTGATTAACTAACAGTAAGTTAATATGACTTACTCGGTTGTACCTCATCAGTGGCTTCATCTATAAAAACTTCTGTGCCATAAAACTATAGCTTGAAAATTTCTTAAGGGGTTATATACAGTTGTGATAGATGAAAAAATCGATTTTTTTTTTATTGCATATTCTTTAAGTATATAATGTTGAGAATACTCTCATAACGATCACTCTCATAATTCATAACGATCAGAGCAGTAGAACCGAAGTTGTAGCTATTTATAGCGCACTACCTCACATCAAACTTGAACAAACTGGAACCTTTAAGGGGTTATATACAGTTGTACCGCGCAAAAATATGGATTTTTATCGATTTTTTTTTGACACCATAGAAAATTTTATGAAAAATGTTTTACCGTGGTCAAAATTTTGTGTTGATCGGATTAGTAGTTTTTTAGTACTCGTGCCCACCGCAAAGGTAATTTCCCAAAAAAATAAATTTTCGAAATTACCTTTGCGGTGGTAATTTCCCAAAAAAAAGAATTTTCGAAATTACCTTTGCGGTGGACACGATTACTAAAAAACTACTAATCCGATCAACACCAAATTTTGACCACTTATTTATTATGATATTAGCCAGTCCGTGATTGAGGGATTTTAAATTTTTTTGAATTTCCTTTTTTAAAGCATAAAAATCGAAAATCTTATACCCTGAAAAAATAAATTTTTTGTTAAAACCGCCGCCATTTTTTTTATCAACATTTTTTAAAATCCCTTGTTCACGGACTAGACAATACAATAAAGATGACTAGATGATAATAATAAAATTTTTTTTGAATTTTTGATTTTGGGTGAACCGTTTTTGGGATATCATGTCCACCGCAAGACACCATCGAAAAAAGGCGATCCGGGAATTCGGCTATAACATTTTTATTATGTAGTATTTTTTTATGAAAAATTTAATTTGGTACCCAGAAACATGTACTAAACAACGTCGGTAAAACATTTTTCATAAATATTTTCTATGGTGTCAAAAAAAATCGATAAAATTCCATTTTATTTGCGCGGTACAACTGTATATAACCTCTTAATCTATAGCCATACAATTTGTTTCGAAATTCAAAGTTTAAAAAATGCTTCTTTGCAAATCATAGTTATCTGACCCATAGGGCATAATACCAGTGACTTAGGCTTGGAAAACACTAGTGATCTGAGAGTCTGATGAAAAATTACTGGTGACGCTAAAGGTGGCAAGACTTCTCTTTGCCTTAGTCTTGCTTGATAACATCCAGGTTATTACGAAGTTTGGTTTGTCGTGTGAAAGCGAATCTCTGAAACGTTATAATTAAAATATTAATTAAATTTAAAAATGTCGATAATAAACATTTTTTTTAAACTATTTTTAGGTTGGAATTACACTCTGAAAGCGGAAATAATAAACCAGAGTTAATATTTATGGACCAAATAGAAGATATTTCATCAGATTATATTCTTCATAAAAATGAAAATTGCATACAAATTCGCATTAACGACGGCGGTCGAGACGGTCGTATCATTTTAACTAATTCGGTAAAAATTCCTTAATTTTAAATGATAGTTCTTGAATAATAGATATTTTTATTTAGGATGAAATAGGTTTAAAGGAGTGGGCCTTTTCCCTCAGGTCTGCACATAAGATGTCTCAAGATCTATTAGGATCCATGGCTAAAAAGGCTGGAAAAATTTATGGAAGTGAACGAGATGCCAACAAATCTATGCTTATACTTGGAGGAAATTGTTCAACCAAAACTTCTAATGGCCCCAACTAAATATTCATATTAAATCAAAATTTAATTTCAAATATCCATTGTAAAAGTTAAAAAAAAAATAAAATACATGTAAAGAAATTCGTATATTTATTTATTTTATTTCACTAACAAATGGAGGAGCTACTGAGGTTTCCACTAGTGTTTTAATTATTTGGTTATTTTAGTGATTAGCTTGGTGTTTGGTTTTGTGTGACTTATGAGTTCAAAAACATTGAACCACAAAAAAGCCTTTGTGGGGAGTGGGAAAAGGACACATATGTATACCATTTTTTAACGGTGAATCCAGAAAGACAATAAACTTTTATTTCGATTTATATTGTTAAAATTTAAATATAACTCGTATTTCCAATTTTTAATAATAAAAATTAAGAATAGGAATTATTTTTCATTTTTACAATAAAATTTAAAAATAAAAATGATGGTTCCATTTTTATACCCTTGCAGAGGGTATTATAATTTTGGTCAAAAGTGTGCAACGCAGTGAAGGAGACATCTCCGACCCCATAAAGTATATATATTATTGATCAGGATCACCTCCTGAGTTGATATGAGCATGTCCGTCTGTTCATGACGAAACTTAAGGGGACAAAATATTACCTAATATAAAAAACGCATATCCCCATTTGGAGCTGGATGAGGGTAGTCATGAGTTCACCACATTTTTTACGCACCGTGGCCTGTTCCGCTACAAGCGTTTAATATTTGGGGTAGACTCAGCTCCAGAGATTTTTCAAAGGTTAACGCAAGAATTGTTGACCGTGGCCTGTTCCGCTACAAGCGTTTAATATTTGGGCTAAACTCAGCTCCAGAGATTTTTCATAGGTTAATGCAAGAATTGTGTCGCCCTGCCCAAACGCATTTAATTACATCGACGATGTCATCGTATTTGGGAATAACCCTGAAGAATATGAAAAATTGCTGGAGACTCATTGTCGAGACTGTGCCAAAACACGGATACCAAACTTTTTGACTGAGCTGGGGAGGAGCATATATTTCGCTTGGTATCGTCCTTCATACCTAAGTCGTTTACCATATCACAAGTCACTGAAACGAGTACTAAAGACAAGGAAATACTCGACGCGATGACGTGCCTTGATAGAAATTCGTGGAGCCTGAACGTGTCAAGTCCGTACTATCCTCTTCGATTGGAGCTTTCAATTGTGCTACAATCGAAAATCGACCTTTCAAATATCCCATTACGGAGCACTAATTGGTAATACCACAAAAGCTTAGAGAGACCTTGAACTCGCACACGAAGGACACCCAGGAATAAGTGCGATGAAACGAAGACTTCGTTCAAAAGTCTGGTGGCCAGGCCTGGATAGGGAAACGGAGCAACACGTGAAAGAATGCCTGCTCATCTTGATTCCATTAAAGCCAGCATCGATGGAGAGATGCCCGTTTCCAACTGGCCCAAGGAAATGTTTTGCGACAGACCTTTTGGGTCCCTTACCAAATGGCGATAATATACTGGTTTTGATTTGATCACTTCCAAAACTATTATCGAACAACATGAAGAGATTTTTGCAAGACTTGGTGTGCCGGAAACGTTAACGGCTGATAATGTAAGACAGTTCATATGCGCCTAGTTTAAAGATTTTTGCGAAAACAATGGTGTTCAAGTTCTGTCAACAACCCCATACTGGCCCCAGGCTAATGGAGAAGTCGGAAACATAAATAAAGCTTTGGTAAAACGTTTAAAAATAGCCCACGCTACCAACATAAACTACAAAAAAGAGATTCAAAGATTCGTACTAATGTACAACGTCAAATACCCACCGACTCCGACCATGTATGAACGTCTACCTTTCCCAACTATTTCTTTACAGCCAACCCAGGAGACACAAAATCCACAGGAACTTCCAGCAGCTCGGGAGACACAAGGCAAAGACAAGATCCTGAAGCTTTGTCTAAAAAGAAAAGATGAGGGATGTGGAGCCCTCCACCAGCATCAGAGACCGGAGAGGAGATGGAGAGCGAGGCTCTCTCCCAACGAGTAGGCTCGTATGCGGGGGAGAGAAGGGAATTAATATTTTCATAGACGCCGATGGAGTCGGACAAATAAAAGTGGTACACTTTGTGCCAAAGTATATAAACATATATTATATATAAATATAATATAATATATAAACATATTTGTTGTGATTATATTGCGGGCTAATAGCGCTGTTACATAACTGAACGTTTGGAAATGGTATTTGGTAAAAATAACAACTTTGGTATTCTTAAAGATAGAAGTTTGGGACTTTTTGTATAAAATGCTAAATATTATAATATTCTTATAAGGATCGGCCAACTATATCCGATTTTTGCGATGTATATCCGGTTGTAACTGCAAGGGTATATCAACTGCGGCTCCACCCGAAGTTAGCTAGCTTTCCTTTCTTGATTAACTTAAAGTAAGATTGTAAAATGTATTGAAGAAAAACAAACTGCACTTTCAGACAATATGTATTTGAAAAAGATTTGCTTTCACTACAAAATAAGCTCAACCTTATACTATGTTAAGTTACCGAGCGGTTTCTGTCACTGAAAAATAATGTTCCAAATCTCCATTCCAATAAAAGCTCGATATTTTAGTTATTTATGTTTATTTAATATCTAATGTAAAGAATCAGCCGCAAACTATGCAGAATCAGAGGGGTCGGTGATAATAAAAATGCGAACGAAATGAGAGAGCGCGAACGAGAGAGTCGGTCCCAAAAAAGATGACACGTGCAGGTGGATGATCGATTGAAGGAGAAAGTGAGGGTGTGTGTCGAAAGTGAAGCAATGCAATGTGACGTTATAAATTCTTCTTCGGTTATATTAGCTAAGCTTGATATAGGTTGGCGAAATTATAGACTACGGCAATCCCGACATTGTTGGACCTTGGACATTGTTTTCGATTCCAATAAAAACAACAGTTGCGATGAAATGCGATATTTAATCAATTTAAAATCTGATTAACTAACAGTAAGTTAATATGACTTACTCGGTTGTACCTCATCAGTGGCTTCATCTATAAAAACTTCTGTGCCATAAAACTATAGCTTGAAAATTTCTTAAGGGGTTATATACAGTTGTGATAGATGAAAAAATCGATTTTTTTTTTATTGCATATTCTTTAAGTATATAATGTTGAGAATACTCTCATAACGATCACTCTCATAATTCATAACGATCAGAGCAGTAGAACCGAAGTTGTAGCTATTTATAGCGCACTACCTCACATCAAACTTGAACAAACTGGAACCTTTAAGGGGTTATATACAGTTGTACCGCGCAAAAATATGGATTTTTATCGATTTTTTTTTGACACCATAGAAAATTTTATGAAAAATGTTTTACCGTGGTCAAAATTTTGTGTTGATCGGATTAGTAGTTTTTTAGTACTCGTGCCCACCGCAAAGGTAATTTCCCAAAAAAAAAAATTTTCGAAATTACCTTTGCGGTGGTAATTTCCCAAAAAAAAGAATTTTCGAAATTACCTTTTGACCACTTATTTATTATGATATTAGCCAGTCCGTGATTGAGGGATTTTAAATTTTTTTGAATTTCCTTTTTTAAAGCATAAAAATCGAAAATCTTATACCCTGAAAAAATAAATTTTTTGTTAAAACCGCCGCCATTTTTTTTATCAACATTTTTTAAAATCCCTTGTTCACGGACTAGACAATACAATAAAGATGACTAGATGATAATAATAAAATTTTTTTTTGAATTTTTGATTTTGGGTGAACCGTTTTTGGGATATCATGTCCACCGCAAGACACCATCGAAAAAAGGCGATCCGGGAATTCGGCTATAACATTTTTATTATGTAGTATTTTTTATGAAAAATTTAATTTGGTACCCAGAAACATGTACTAAACAACGTCGGTAAAACATTTTTCATAAATATTTTCTATGGTGTCAAAAAAAATCGATAAAATTCCATTTTTTTTGCGCGGTACAACTGTATATAACCTCTTAATCTATAGCCATACAATTTGTTTCGAAATTCAAAGTTTAAAAAATGCTTCTTTGCAAATCATAGTTATCTGACCCATAGGGCATAATACCAGTGACTTAGGCTTGGAAAACACTAGTGATCTGAGAGTCTGATGAAAAATTACTGGTGACGCTAAAGGTGGCAAGACTTCTCTTTGCCTTAGTCTTGCTTGATAACATCCAGGTTATTACGACGTTTGGTTTGTCGTGTGAAAGCGAATCTCTGAAACGTTATAATTAAAATATTAATTAAATTTAAAAATGTCGATAATAAACATTTTTTTTAAACTATTTTTAGGTTGGAATTACACTCTGAAAGCGGAAATAATAAACCAGAGTTAATATTTATGGACCAAATAGAAGATATTTCATCAGATTATATTCTTCATAAAAATGAAAATTGCATACAAATTCGCATTAACGACGGCGGTCGAGACGGTCGTATCATTTTAACTAATTCGGTAGAAATTCCTTAATTTTAAATGATAGTTCTTGAATAATAGATATTTTTATTTAGGATGAAATAGGTTTAAAGGAATGGGCCTTTTCCCTCAGGTCTGCACATAAGATGTCTCAAGATCTATTAGGATCCATGGCTAAAAAGGCTGGAAAAATTTATGGAAGTGAACGAGATGCCAACAAATCTATGCTTATACTTGGAGGAAATTGTTCAACCAAAACTTCTAATGGCCCCAACTAAATATTCATATTAAATCAAAATTTAATTTCAAATATCCATTGTAAAAGTTAAAAAAAAAATAAAATACATGTAAAGAAATTCGTATATTTATTTATTTTATTTCACTAACAAATGGAGGAGCTACTGAGGTTTCCACTAGTGTTTTAATTATTTGGTTATTTTAGTGATTAGCTTGGTGTTTGGTTTTGTGTGACTTATGAGTTCAAAAACATTGAACCACAAAAAAGCCTTTGTGGGGAGTGGGAAAAGGACACATATGTATACCATTTTTTAACGGTGAATCCAGAAAGACAATAAACTTTTATTTCGATTTATATTGTTAAAATTTAAATATAACTCGTATTTCCAATTTTTAATAATAAAAATTAAGAATAGGAATTATTTTTCATTTTTACAATAAAATTTAAAAATAAAAATGATGGTTCCATTTTTATACCCTTGCAGAGGGTATTATAATTTTGGTCAAAAGTGTGCAACGCAGTGAAGGAGACATCTCCGACCCCATAAAGTATATATATTATTGATCAGGATCACCTCCTGAGTTGATATGAGCATGTCCGTCTGTCCGTCTGTCTGTCTGTTTCTACGCGAACTAGTCTCTCAGTTTTAAAGCTATCGACTAAGCTATCGTACTAAGTTTCAGCATTCTATCTTAAAAAACACGAAAGTTGGTTCATTTCCGATCGTTCAGTTATATGGCAGATATAGGATATAGTCGGCCGATCCTAACGAAATTTGGCATGTCGTATTATTTTGCCAAAAGTAGCGCTCATGTAAAATTTAAACTCTCTCACTCTAAAAACACCGAAGTTATACCATTTCCGATCAATCAGTTATATGGCAGCTATAGGATATAGTTGGCCGATCCGGGCCGTTCCGACTTATATACTGCGTGCAAAGGGTAAGAAGGGTGTGTGCAAAGTTTCAAGACGATAGCTTTAAAACTGAGAGACTAGTTCGCGTAAAAACAGTCAGACGGACTTATATCAACTCAGGAGGTGTTCCTGACCAAGAATATATATACTTTATAGGGTCGGAGATGTCTCCTTCACTGCGTTGCACACTTTTGACCAAAATTATAATACCCTCTGCAAGGGTATAAAAATTGAAAATAAGAGTTATATTTCAATTTTCGTTATAAAAATCAACAAACAATTTTTATTTTAAAAATTATAGTAATCGCGGTCCCTGATTTATTGTATTAGTATGCAGTAATATTATATGTATGTATATATTTAGTTAAAGCAGCAGCGGTTTCGGTCGATTGTCTATCTCTGGTCGGCTTGCTCATCTCTTATCGATGCAGTTTTATCTTTCCGCTCCATTGTGGCAGTATGCATTGTCCCCTCTTAAGCTTTGCGCATGTGCGCCCGGCCTTGTCTCGCCAGTACATATGACAAATGCTCCCTATCTTATTCTTTTGCCTATTGTTTGCGACCCCTCTATAACAATGCATTGAACCGCTAAGCTCTGGGAAGCTGCTTTTGTCCCAAGCTCATCGCGCCGTTCGGACTACCGCCGTCGACCTCCGCTCTTGCACCGCGAATACATATAATATAATAAAGCTATTTAATAGGACGCAGTGATTATTTTTTTGGAATTGGGAAACTTGCCGGCTAGCGAAAACGCTCGGTAACTCAACACTTGGCTTAACTATATATTCGTTTTTATTTTAGATTTCGTTCTACAATTTGTTTTATTTTAAGAATTTTATAACTATGTTGATGTTTTCTGAGGTTGGGTTCTTAAGATACACTGTGGCTGGCAAATTTTAAAGGAGATGGTGTTTGTCCAGTGAGATTGCTGGGAAAGAGTATTGGCATTATTATTATTATTATTGGCAGCGATGGCAGTTGCGTAGGGTTTTGGGTGGAGAAGGTGCTTGTGGGATATGTTGGTATGTCCAAGCCAAAGCCTTATAAATTTAATTTGATCCATTCTATTGATTTCTTCTTGAGTTATGTTATGTACCTAATGTTATGTTATGAGTGCTAATGTTTATGTACCATATATTGCATTTATTTATTAAAGTTTCATTTTGTTGTGTATGTTTATTTTTTACCATTTTGTTAATGTCTGTTATGTTTTCGTTAAGTTAGGCGAACGAAAACATCTGTATGTAAGTGTCATTTTTTTAATCTCTGTATGCTGGGATCCGTAATATTTTTATTTTTGCTTGTTTGGGTTGAAAAAGGATCGGATGGACGGAGGGTATTTGTTGAAGGAAAGGCAAGGAATCTTGGTGGCTTGAGGATTTCGATCATTTTCGGGTTCATAAGTAAGGTGGACGCTTTCCGTATAGTCAAATTTTTGGTTCAATGATATTAGCCAATGTGTTTGTGTTTTTTTTTAGTCATTCCAAAAGGTGTTGATTACGTTTTGCGGTAGTTGCCATGGTGGCTTTGTCTTGTATAGTCTTATTAAATTTTTCGCTATAGTTCGATCTCTTTGTTGTAATGGTGTATCTTTGGAGGGTAGTTTTCCAGTAGTGGGTAATTTTCCTGGGTTTTTAAAAAACCATCGAACTACCGTACCGAGCGGACGTGCTTTGCCCGAACTCCGGGAAAACTGCAACATAAAACAGTTAACCAAACAAAAAAACAGGGGTAACCCAATATAAGCGAAAAGACGCTGAACCACAATTTATTAAAAGCCATATTCAAGCTTTTTATAACAGTTGTGATGTGCTAAACCAAAACTAGTTAATTTTTTTAAATAAATAAGTGCCACGCAATGAGCTCATTGAGCAACGATCAGAAGAACGAGCGTAGAAGCTAGGTGAACCAAAGAAATAACTTCTACTCTTACATTTCAACCCGCGATACGGCAATGGATAAATTGGCGTTTAAGAGCAGGCTGGCTCTACTGACCGTTGAAACACAAAGAGCACAGTCTTGCTCACCCGCTCTGCTCACTCCGACTCCCGCGTCATGGAGTTTGCAGTGTAAAACTTCCCCTCCAATATCGAAACAAATTTCGCACCGACAAAAAGCAGTCCTACAATTTCTGCAACCACTGCGACAACCACTACAATTCAAAGTAACACGAAGTCAACGAATACAGCGAGTACAAAAACAACAGCTTTGGAAAGTGCCAAAGCGACCCCGGCCACACAAACTGGAATGGATCGCTACATCCAAATTAAGCGCAAGCTTAGCCCGCAGAGTAATCCGGCAGGCAACAAAACAAAAATTAACCGTGTCCTGAAGATCGATAAAGAACCAGACAGATCCCCTACTAACAGATTTGCCCTACTGGCGGAGGTTGAGGAAAACCAACCAGCCCAAGACACTGCAAAAAAACCCAAGCCCCCTCCAATCTATATTAGGGAAAAAAGCTCGAGTGCCCTGGTCAAAAAAATTGCGTCGTTGATCGGGAACGGTGACAACTTTCATGTTGTTCCGCTTATCAAAGGGAACATCCATGAAACAAAGGTGCAAACCAAGTCTGAAGAGCACTTCCGAATCGTGTCCAAATATCTGGACACTGTACACGTACCAGCTGAAAAGCAGTAAGGGCCTACAAGTGGTAGTAAAGGGAATAGAACCTGATGTTACCGCCGAGGAAATAAAAACTGCCCTTAAAGAAAAGGGCTTCGCCGCCAAGAATGTTATTAACATTCTAAATAAAGATAAAAAGCCACAACCCCTCTTCAAGGTCGAGCTCAAGCCAGAAAGCAGGTCGCTGAAGAAGAACGAAGTCCACCCAATCTACAACCTGCAATATCTTTTGCATCGGAAAATCACTGTTGAAGAGCCACATAAACGCAACGGTCCAGTGCAATGCACTAACTGTCAAGAGTATGGACACACAAGGTCTTACTGCACACTTCGGGCTGTCTGTGTAGTCTGCGGGGACGCCCACAAGTCCGCTTGCTGCACTACAAACAAGGACAGTACCGTGAAGAAATGTGGAAACTGCGGAGGCAGCCATACGGCAAACTATAGAGGATGTATTGTGTATAAGGAGTTAAAGAGTCGCATGCGTCAAGCGACCGCAACGCGCAACCAAAATCCACAGAATGCGTACGTTTCGTCAAAAACCACGCCAGACGTCTTCTTCGCCAAAGCTGCGAGATCCTCATTCGGTCCACTAAACACCACCAACGGCTTCTCCTATGCCGATGCTCTACGATCTGGAAGGGAAATTCCAATTCAGCCTAACTCTCAAAGCGCTCAACAGGCCCCAGAACAGCCACACAGCAAAACGGAAACTATGATGCTTACCCTCCAACAAAGTATGATGGAGCTTATGTCATTCATGAAAACGACCATGCAAACGCTTGTTCAAAACCAGAACATGGTGATACAGCTGCTCGTAGCACAACAGTCTAAATAATCTATGCAGGCGCTACGAATATCAATGTGGAACGCCGATGGTGTCTCACGGCATAAACTAGAATTATCACAATTCTTAACCGAAAACCATATTGACGTTATGCTACTGGTGGAAACGCATCTTACAAGCAAATACAACTTTCATATAAGAGGCTACACAATCTACCGCACAGATCATCCAGATGGGAAAGCCCACGGCGGAACTGGAGTTCTAATCAGAGAACGCATTAAACACCATTTTCACAAAAGGTTTGCCACAAACTTCTTGCAGGCCACATCGATACAAATTCAGTCAAGCAACGGAATCCTTTCAATCGCTGCCGTTTACTGCCCTCCTCGTTTCGCAATCTCGGAAGGACAATTTATGGACTTCTACAATTCACTTGGGGATCGATTTATAGCCGCAGGAGACTACAACGCCAAACATACGCACTGGGGATCACGTCTAGTGACTCCCAAAGGAAGACAATTGTACAATGCAATTATAAATGTGAAAAATAAACTGGACTACGTTTCCCTTGGAAGTCTCACATACTGGCCAACAGACTCACGAAAGCTCCCAGACCTTATTGATTTTGCAGTGACAAAAAACATACCTCGCAATCTAATAAGTGCCAAAGCAGTCTCGGACTTATCATCAGACCACTCGCCTGTGCTTCTAACGCTTCTTCAAAGCCCAGAAATAACCGAACACCCCTTCAGCCTGACGTCGCCAAAAACGATCTGGCTA